ACAGGTGCCTGGTAGAACCCCATGTTTTTGGCACACAGGGCATTTCTGCAATGTATTGATGTGATATCCTCTCTCTCTCTCTCTCTCTCTCTCTCTCTCTCTCTCTCTCTCTCTCTCACACACACACACACACACACAGAAGTTGTTAGGAAAAAATTAAGCACACACGAAGTTTCCCTGCTGGAATGATGGCAGCGTTTGCGTCTCCCCTCTGGTCTCTGCACAATTTGATGTTCTCATGACATGCACAGTGCTTAGAATCACCTCCCCGGTCCTCTCTCACAGTGAAGACCCATTACACATAAAAACTGACGTGTGATTCTGGCCTGTGCCTTTCGCACCGCCCTGGACCAGTTCACAGCCTTAGGACAACCAGGGTGGATTTTGTTTGACATCTTCGAGTGCAAACATTAGACGGCGAAATAAAACAGCGTGGGGATAAGGAAGAGGAGTCTGAGCTTGGCACTGAACTGTCATGGTCTCCCGTGTTTTGGGGAGTGGGGAGGAGAGGGTGTTCGGGTGAAAAGCTTTTTGTAGGATTTAGCCTTCTGAAACTGAGCCCTGGCGGCTCACGCCTGTCACGCTGGCTACTCAGGAGGCTGAGAAGTGAGGATCGCAGTTTGAAGCCAGCCTTGGCAGGAAAGTTTGTGAGACTCTTCTCTCTGGTGAACCAGTAAAAAGATGCAAATGGAGCCGTGGCTCAAGTGGTAGAGCACTAGCCTTGAGGAAGAAAAGCTCGGGGCCAGTGCTCAGACCCTGAGTTCAAGCCTCAGGACTGGCAAAAAAAAAAAGGGGGGAAAAAGAATTTGCCAACCACTGCCTCCAATTCTCTTCTTTTGGGAACCCCGTGTTCAGTCATGGTGTCTAATATCAGGTTCTTCTAGTTTAAAGCCATTTCCTCTTCTGTTAAGACCAGCTTCTTCACCATGTTTACTCTTGCATAACATGGCAGTGTCTGTGTGTGTATGTGTGTGTGTGTCCTGGGCCTTGAACCCAGGGCCCAGGCACTGTCCTTAAGCCTTTTTTTGTTCAAGGCAAGCGCTCTACCACTTGAGCCACAGTTCCACTTCTGGCCTCTTGGTGATTAATTGGAAATAAGAGTCTCATAGACTTTTCCTGCCTAGGCTGGCTTCGAACCGGGATCCTTAGACCTCAGCCTCTCAAGTAGTAGCTGGGATGACGGGCGTGAGCCACCCATGTCCAACTGAAATATAAAATTCCCAGTAGCGTCTGATCAAAGGCCACAAAGCCAAGAATGAGAATGCCTGCAGCCTGACAGCCCGGGACACTTTTCTCCTTTCTGAGGATGAACGTTCTAGAAACATCAGGGGCTCTGCCCTCGTCACCCTACCCAGACACTCTGAAGGGTCTTGGCATTTTAGTCAAGATGGTTCCATCTTAGGGCGGAAAAAAACCCCAAACAAAACAAGAGAAAGCTTTAATAACTCCCAAGAGGAGAAGGAGACTCCTAGGCCAAATCTCTGCAAGAGCCACGAGGTCTGGGAAGGAGGAAGAGGTGAACCAGAGACTCCACTGGTCTCTTGAGGGCAGAGAGAAGGAGAGGATTTCTTCTCCCAGGCCACAGCAGCCCATGGGGAGACCAGGCGGAGAGCTAGAGGATGATGTAAGGCCAGGGCAAGGCGCCCAGCGTGGAGATGCAGGCATCTGCTGCCGGCTCTGGCGAACGTCTTCCCAGAGGACCAGCCTTTCAGTCCTCCCTGGGAGCCTCCTGAACAGAGAGCTTGATCTTCCTCCTCTGACATCCAGGGAGGAACCGAGGCTTCCCACTCGGTGGCTTCCAGCCCCTCACAGCACGTCCGGTGAGTGACAGCCCGGCAGGGGTGGCGGGGAGGATGGAAGGGAGGGACCCCAGAGTTGCCAACCCCGCCTGGCCTGGTCTCTGGGGTTGATGGTTGCTGATGAGTGATGTATTCATCAGGTAGCATCTGCCCAGGACATCGTACATCTCCACGGTGCAGTGTGCATGCACTAGGCTGTGCAAATGCACCACTATGCTGTTATTTGCACATTGGTGTGTGCATGTGTGTATTTATTTATTTTGCTGGGCCTGAGGTTGGCCACTGTCCCTGAGCTTTTTTTTTTTGGTCGGTCGTGGGGCTGGAACTCTGGGCCTGGGCACTGTCCCTCAGCTCTTCAGCTCAAGGTGAGCTCTCTACCTGAGCCACAGCACCACTTCTGGATTTTTCTTTTTCTTTTTCAAGTCATTCATTGGAGACAAGACTCTCATGGTCTTTCCTGCCCAGGCTGGCTTTGAACTGTGATCCTCTGATCTCAGCCTTCTGAGTAGCTAGGATTATAGGCTTGGGTTTTCTTTTTCTTCTTCTTCTCAAGATTGGTGGTACTTTACCACTTGAGCCACATAGCTCCACTTCTGCTATTTTGCTGGTTCATTGGAGATGAGGGTCTCATGTACTTTCTTGCCTGGGCTGGCTTTGAACTGAGATCCTTAGATTTGAACCTCCCCAGTAGTTAGGATTGCAGGTGTGAGCCGCCGGTGCCTGGCTTGCTTTGTTTCTTTATAACACTTAATGACTAATAAATACTGAATGGACTCAATGCTGGGCTCGTTGCTTCTCATAAAAGAACAGCAATAAAAGCCTGTGTGAGATTTTGTTTTCAAGTGAAATGAACAGATGAGAGGGGAATTAGCTATGAAGCACATAAAGAAGCAAAGACTTTGTTTTTGGTGCTGGTCCTCAGGCTTGAACTCAGGGTCTGGGCATTTGTCCCTGAGCCTTTTTGCTCAATGCTGTGGCATCCTACTATTTGAGCCACAGCTCCACTTCTGGCTTTTTGGTGGTTCATTGGAGATAAGAGTCTCATGGACTTTCCTGCCCGGGCTGGCTTTGAACCGTGATCCTCAGATCTCAGCCCCCAGAGTAGCTGGGATGACAGGCGTGAGCCATCAAGCACCCAGCTTGTTGGCAAGGACCCTTTGTGCAGAAGAGGAGACATACACAGCCATGTTTCTCTATGTTGATCAGAGAGACAGAGGGAAAGGAATTGGTGAGGATTTCGTTTGGCCACAGAAACTCATGAGAGGCAGTGTTTGAAGCTTTGTTTCTCAGTCTGGGCATTCACATAAACACACAGGATAGACATGTAAAGGAAAATGGACAATTTGTAATGATGATAATTCCCATGAGATTCATTTACTTTTTTTTTTTTTTAACTGCAAAAAACGTGGCATCACTCTTTATAAAAAATTACTGCAGAGGTGATGCGCAGAGGGGTTGGTTACATGCGCCAGATGACGAGACATTGCCTTTGTACCCTGTCACTCCTTCCCTCTTTTTCTCCCCCAGTGAGGAGACAGCGTATTTAGTCCTAGTTTTCAATGTGTTCGTGTGTGTGTGTGTGTGTGTGTGTGTGTGTGTGTGTGTTGAACCCAGAACCCTCTTGCTCTCACTTGGGCTTTTCGCTCCTGGCTGATTGGTGCTCTATCACTTGATTCACACTTCCAGTTTGCAGCTTTTTTTGCTGGCTAGTTGGAGTTTAAGAATATGCACCCGAGGCTCACGCCTGTCATCCTAGCTACTCAGGAGGCTGAGATCTGAGGATTGTGGTTCAAAGCCAGCCCAGGCAGGAAAGTCCATGAAACTCTTATCTCCAATAAACAAATCAGAAAACCAGAAGTGGCGCTGTGGCTCAAGGGGTAGAGCACTAGCCTTGAGCTGAAGAGCTGAGGGATAGCATCCAGGCCCAGAGTTCAAGCCTCACAACTGACCAGAAAAAAAAAATGTTGAGCACAGTGGCTCACAGCAGTAATGCTGGCCACTTGGACAGTGGAGAAAGTGGGGGGGGGGATTTTGTTCGAGGATATCTTTAGTGGAAAAGTTTATGAGACGCCTCCCCCCCCCCCCCCCCCAGCATGTCAACTATACAGGCTGAGGGCTGTGGGATGCACCTGTCATTCCAGCTGTGCGGGGATGTCACTAGGACTGCGTTCCAGGCTGGGCATCAATGTAAGACCACATTCAAAGAAATCGAGTAAGAAGGGCTGGGTGTTTGACTCAAGGGTTAGAGTCTGGACAAGAAAGTGCAAAGTCTCGATCTCAACCACCTGCTCCACAGTATTTGATCTCTCTCTCTGTCTGTCTGTCTCTCTCTCTGTCTCTCTCTCTGTGTCTCTGTTGGTCATGGGGCTTGAACTCTGGGCCTGGGCGCTGTCCCTCAGCTCTTCAGCTCAAGGTAAGCACTCTACCATTGGATCCATAGCACCACTTCTGGCTTTTTCTGCTTATGTGGTGCTGAGGAATCGAACCCAGGGCCTCAGGCATGCAAGGCAAGCACCCTACCACTGAGCCACCTTACCAGACCCTGATCTCTTTTTTAAAATACAATTGTGTCAGTCTTGGGGCTTGATCTCAGGGCCTGGGTGCAGTCCCTGAGAATTTTTGTTCTAGGCTAATGCTCTACCACTTGAGCCATAGCTCCACTTCTGGTTTTTTTGTCATTAATTGGAGATAAGAGTCTCGGACTTTCCTGCCTGGGCTGGCTTTGAACTGTGACCCTGTGATCTCAGGCAGCCTCCTGAGTAGCTAGGATGACAGGCGTGAGCCACTGGAGTAATATTCGAGTGAGATAGAAATGACCCATTGGCAATAGCTCAAAAATACCTGCTTTTCCCCCTTGTTTTCCTTTTGCCAGTCCTGGGGTTTGAACTCAGGGCCTGGGCACTGTCCCTGAGCTGCTTTTGCTCAAGGCTCGTGCTCTACCCCTTGAACCACGGCGTCACTTCTGGCTTTGTCTGTGTCTGTGGTACTGAGGAATTGAACCCAGGTCTTTATGCATGCCAGGCAAGCGCTCTACCACTGAGCCACCTTCCCAGCCTCTCAAAAATACCTTCTTAGGACCAGTCCACAAATAACAACAACAAAAATATGTAGCCATTGAGGTAACCACCTGAGATCCTGAGCTGTAGCATTTCAGCTCGTAACCTAGCTACTTTTCTGTTCTCTGGTAGGGACAAGCCATCTATGGACTCAGAAAACAACACGAGAAATCTAGTATTTCTTCTTGTCGGGTTTTCAGAAATGCCCCAACTGCAGCCCCTCCTCTATGGCCTCTTCCTGGCCATGTACCTGCTCACCGTGCTCGGCAATCTGCTTGTCATCCTGGCAGCCATCTCCGACCCCCGTCTGCACACGCCCATGTGCTTCTTCCTCTCCCACCTGCCCCTGGTGGACGTCGGCTTCACCTCCACCACCATCCCCAAGATGCTGCTCAACCTCCACACGCACAGCCGGGCCATCAGCTACGCGGGCTGCGTGGCCCAGATGTTCTTCTTCCTGGTGTTTGTAGAGTTGGACAACTTCCTGCTGGCGGTGATGGCCTACGACCGCTTCGTGGCCGTCTGTCGCCCGCTGCGCTACGCGGCCATCGTGGGCCCCCGGCTCTGCGTGCTGCTGGTGCTGGGCTCCTGGGCGGTGAGTGTCTCGCACGCCTGGCTGCAGAGTCTCCTGGTGCTGCGCCTGTCCTTCTGCGCAGAGGTGGACATTCCGCACTTCTTCTGTGAGCTGAACCAGCTGGTGCAGCTCACCTGCTCGGACACGCTCCTCAACGACCTGGTGATGTACGTCGCCCTTGTGCTCTTGGCCACGCTCCCTCTGGCCGGCATCCTGTATTCCTACTGCAGGATCGTGTGCTCCATCCGGGCCATCTCGTCCAGCCAGGGGAAGCGCAAGGCCCTGTCCACCTGCGCCTCCCACCTCTGCGTGGTCTCCCTGTTCTACAGCACGGGCCTGGGGGTGTACCTCAGCTCTGCGGCCACGCACCGCTCGGGCTCCACGGCCACGGCCTCCGTGATGTACACGGTGGTCACCCCCATGCTGAACCTCTTCATGACAGCCTGAGGAACAAGGACGTCAAGAGGGCCCTGAGGAAGCTCTTAGGAGGCAAAGCCTAGAAGACAGGGCCAGGCCCTGGGGCCGGAAGAGCGGCCAGACTCCCAGGCAGAGATGAGGGGGCTTGAGCATTTCCTCAGATGATGTACTAGGGATGTATTCCGACTGGTTTATTGCTTAGAGGCTAAATCGCTCGGATTTTGACTTGTCTATTCAATACAAATACTAGTTATTTTTGTTTTTGTTTTTGCCAGTCATAGTGCCTGAACTCTGGGCCTGGGCGCTGTCCCTCAGCTCTTCAGCTCAAGGCGAGCGCTCTACCACTTGAGCCACAGTGCCACTTCTGGCCTTTTCTGAGTAGTTTATTGGAGATAAGAGTCTCACAGACTTTCCTGCCCAGGCTGGCTTCAACCACAATCCTCAGATCTCAGCCTCTTGAGTAGCTAGAATTACAGGCTTGAGCAATCAGGCCTGGCTTAAAAAATATATTTTAATATATATTATATAATATATAGTACATAATATATAATATATTAAAATATATTATATATATTTAATGCTGGGCCTGGGGCTTGAAATCAGGGTCTGGACATTATCCCTGAAGTTTTTCATTAAAGACTGGTGGCATCCACAGCTCCACTTCTGGCTTTTTGGTGGTTAACTGGAGATAATAGTCTCGTGGGCTTCCTTGCCCAGGCTGGCTTTGAAGTGTGATCCTCAGATCCCAGCCTTCTGAGTAGGTAAGATCACTGGGGTGAGCTACTGGTGCTTTCTGGGTATTTTTTATTTTTCCAAAACACAAAATTTTTATTGACTGGAACCAATTAATATTCACCGCAAAAGAAACACAACAATGGTAAGAATGCTTAGTTAGGATTCATTGCAATTCCTTTTACACATGATCGCAATCCGCCACCCATATTATGAAGTGAATCATTTATTGGCAGTTCAAAGAAAAGCACACAAAACCTAAGCTACGATTAACTCATTAAACTCAGAAAAATTCAAGAGTCCAGAGAAGCCCCCAAGAGAACAAATACTACTAGATCTTCTTTAAATGTCTTTCCTATATTATTTATAAAGCCGAGTGCACTTATTGTAGGAAAATGCATGCAATGTGTCTGATGGTGAGTGACTGCTTTTTCAGTGATACTAATATGGTCACTCAAGTTCTGCATTCTGCTGTACTCTATCTGTGGACCCACCTTGATGACAGAGGTAGCATCAAGCATGTACAAAATTAGCAGGTAAGCAGTGAAGCAGCTAAACACAGAACAGCAATAAATACAGTCTTCACCTCTGACTTCTTCCCCCTCCCCAACCCCCGATTGTGGGGCCTGAACTCTGGGCCTGGGCGCTGTCCCTCAGCTCTTCAGCTCAAGGCCAGCGCTCTACCACTTGAGCCACAGCATCACTTCTGTCTTTTTCTGCTTATGTGGTGCTGAGGAATCGAACCCAGAGCCTCCTGCATGCGAGGCAAGCGCTCTACCACTGAGCCACCTTCCTAGCCCACCTCTGACTTCTTTAAGCCGAAAGCCCTCATAACCATTGCAACTGGCTAACAAAGGCCGAGAACGTGCTCCTGACAATGATTCCTCAGTTTGTGACCGTCCAACTTGTTTAAAAAATGGTAAGCCTGGGGCTGGGAAGGTGGCTCCGTGGTAGCGCGCTTGCCTTGCATGCCTGAGACTCTGGGTTCAACTCCTCAGCACCACATAAGCAGAAAAAGCCAGAAGTGGTGCCGTGGTTCAAGTGGTAGAGCGCTAGCCTTGAGCTGAAGAGTTGAGGGACATCGCCCAGGCCCAGAGTTCAAACCCCACAATTAGCAAAAACAACAACAACAAAAACCCCCAAATGGTAAGCCATATAATTTGTAGGGGGAAAGTCACTGAAACCTCCAGAATATATAACCGGGCGATTTCCCTTCAGTGCAGAATAGTGAAGCGGCAGGAAGGTGATGGAGAACCAGGCTTCAGGGCGTTGTTATAGAAATCAGACAACTCCTTGTGACTACATTCCACAAGACCTTTATTCTAGTCCTGAAGTCACGAGGTTCAGGTCTGGCCGGCGCCATCTTGGCTACATGGTGGATGTTGGGGTCTAACATTTTGCCTTCGTGCTGGGGGAAGAAATCCCTTTCCCATCACCAGCCTCCCAGGTGACGGGCGTGCCCAGATCCTGAGTACTTAGTTTTTAAAGCTATCTGGTCTGTCTGATATCCAACTGCTTGTCCAGCCCTTCTGATTTCCCAAATTTAGTCCAAGATTTGCACCAGAAATATTAGCAGGAGACATGATAAGTTACCATTGTTCCAAATATGATGGCAGAAATTCCCTTTTATATAACCGAGCAGCAACACATATCAAGTAATATTCACTGAAAAATAATAATGATTATTTTTATTACACAAGAAAAAAAGCCCACAATTGGTAAGGTTACTTACATAATTTTATTTTATGTCATTATTAGAGTTTGAACTCAGGGCCTGGGTGCTGTTCCCTGAGAATTTTTTTTTTTTGCTCAAGGCCAGTGCTCTACCATTTAAGCCACAGCTCCACTTCCAGCTCTTTTTTTGGGGGGTGATCAATTGGAGATAAGAGTTTCATGGACTTTCTTCCCTGGGCCAAGTTTGAACCTCGATCCTCAGAACCTCCTTCTCCTGAGTAGTTAGGATTCCAGGTACAAGCCAGCGGTGCCTGGCTCTTTCTGTGTTAGTTCTTACAAATGATGCCAATCTACAACTCTCATCAAATAAAAGTGTAATGGAAATTATAAATGACATAGATGGAGCGGGAGGAGGGGAAAGGTGAGGCTGGCCACGATGCATGGAGCTCATAAATGGATATGTTTAATGGAAACCCTTCTGTGCAACTACTTCAAGACAATACAGTTATAAACGAAAGAAAGGAATGGATTATGCGGGGGGAAAGGAATTTGTGCATCCGTGAAAATGTATCACAACCAAACGCCTCAAACTGCAAATATCTGGTGATGCAAAACCAAAATAAAAAACTTGTCAATGAAAAAGTTAATAAATATGTGAATACATATTTTTCTTGAAGAGTTGAAATTCTGAGCTTTCCTTTTCTGGCTTTGAATTCAACATCCTCCCCCCACCCCGCCTCCCCGCCCCGATGTTCCCCACACAATTATCAGCCATCATAATATACCACATGCTTAAAAATCACCCCAAAGGACTCCCTTTGTGCAGGCGCTGGCGCTTGAACTCAAAGCCTGGGTGCTGTCTTTGAGTGTTTTTATGCTCAAGGCTGGTGCTCTATGACTTGAGCCACAGCTCTACTTCTGGCTTTTTATTTTGAGTGGCTAATTGGAGATAAGAGTTTCTCGGGGACTTTCCTGCCCAGGCTGGCTTTGAACTGTGATCCTCAGATCTCAGCCTCCTGGGTAGCTAGGATTTCAGGCAATAGCCACTGGTGCCCGGCTTCCAGTCAGTATTCTAATCATACTTTATGGAAGTTAAATAAATGATAGTGCAATCTATGGATGCCCGAGCAATGTTTATCAAACCATCCACACATACCTGCAGTAAGTATAAAAAATGGAATGGAGGAAGACATACTTGTGAGGTTTTTTTTTTTTTAATTTTTATAAAATCCCTGTGACACGATGTTTTCACATCAAAGGAACCGGGCTCTCCTCATTGCCACACAGGGAATTACAATGAAGTTTCTGGAACCCTTGGTGATTGAAGGGGCCTGGGGCAGACAGGTTCCTTAATTGGAGATTTTATTTTATTTTTTGGGGGGAGAATGCAAATTAGTTGAGGGGTTGAGCGAGTTTCAGAAAAGCAAGAGAGTGTGATGCAGAGGGGCAGCGAAGATTGCATTCACCTGGCTTGTTTCTTTTTATTATGTTTTATTTCCAAGCCTGGTCTCTTGAGAATGAAGACTCTGCGGGGACCATTTTCCTTCTGGGTGGAGCCTCATCCCACAGGGAATCTGCCAGTGCGCTCAGGTGTTGGAGCCACAAGAAGGAAAATCTAGCCGAGGGAGAGGGGACTGGGGGTTACAAATACCCCCTCCTGTACGGTCCTTCAGCATGTCTAACCTTGAGCTCCGTGAGACATTGTCCTCTTACTGCTGGTGTCCTGAGTCTGTCCTGGGGACAGGAAGCCTTCGCTCCATCCTGCCATCTCCTCTGGGGGCAGATCTTCCTCCCCCACCCCAGCATCAAGAGCACAGTGGCCTCTCCCCAGAGGCTTCCCTTCTGAGAGGCCTCCATCCAGGTGAGTCCAAGGCCGCACCAGCTGTGGGGGAAGGGGTTCAGGGGATGGCGGAACCAGAGCAGATTTGCCTGGGCAGTGTGTCCAGCTCAGTTGAACACTGGCGAGCTCACCCCTGAGGGAGGGTTCGCTGGCTCCGGCATCTGTGAGGGCCTGGGTCACCAGGAAGATGTCTGCACTGCTAAGCGAGATGTATCCGGCCAGGGTGATGGCGGATGGGTGGGTGATGGCGGATGGGTGGGTGATGGCGGATGGGTGGGTGATGGCGGATGGGTGGGTGACAGCAGTGGGGGCCAAAGAGCAGGTTGGACGTATAATGCGGCTCAGGCACAAGGACAGTAAGGCTGATGATGGCTTTTGCCATTGTAAGGATAGACGCCGAGGAATAGACACTGGCAGGGATCGATGCTGAACTGAGTTCTCACTTGATCACACCTCCATGGCGTGTGTGTGTGTGTGTGTGTGTGTGTGTGTGTGAGTCCCAGGGCTTGAACTCAGAGCCGGGGCACTATCCCTGAGTTTCTTTGGCTCAAGGCTAGTGCTCTACCATTTGAACCACAGCACCACTTCTGACAAAGAGTCTCATGGACTTTCCTGCCCAGGCTGGCTTCGAAATTGTGATCCTCAGATCTCAGCCTCCCGAGCAGCTGGGATTACAGGCATGAACCACCGGTCACCTGGCTTGTCTTCAGTGTTTTTATGGCCGAGTATATTTGAGGATGCTGAAATATCGATCAGTGGAGGTCGCTTGCAAATTGGGCCTTGC